GCTCGATCGCGCAGGCGACTCACGAGAGCATCTTGATGCGCCACGGCCTCCTCAAGGCCGAGCACAAGTTAGTCTATGGACAGCCCGTGCCCACCAGTGACCTCTGGGAAGGCATCTACCTAGACGACCTGCTCATCACCCTGAAGGTTGCGATGCCCTACGAAATCCCGTTAGACGGTAGCTTTGTGCCTCCCGAGCCGCAGGACTGGGACAGTGACATGGTGCAGGCCAAGAAAGCCGAGGTGGCGTATGAGAACGCAAGATTGCCCCGAGCATTGCAAAAATCGTTCCGTGCCAAGGCGCTCTTCAAAGCTTGGGGCGCGGAGGTCGACGGGATCAAGGGACGAGTGGGGGCCCCTCTTGAAGTGAGACGGCAACTGTGGAAATTGATCGCCCAGCTGCTGGCTTCAGGTCGGGCTTCCAAGGAGGCGCTCGAGAAGCTGGGTGGATTCGTGGCGTTCGTGTTCCAATTTAGGCGGGAATTCTTTAGTCTATGTTGCAAAGCTGCAACCTCAGAAAGTCGTACGGCTACCAGGGTACATTGCGGATGAACTTCGTGCTGTTGCTCTGCATCTCCCGCTGGCTTCTTGGAACATGCGATCGCACATTTCCTCTTCATTGCTCGCTACAGACGCAACACCTACTTCAGGAGGAGCGGTGCGGGCGAATATCGCCCCGGCTCTGGCCTCGGAGCTGTGGCGTGCTGGAGGCCCCGCCGCTGGAGACGTCCAGGTTTGCCGCCAGCATCTCTCCATGTCTCAATTGGCAGATTTGCGTCGTACTCTTTTCGGAACACACACACCACATCAACCTGCAGGAGGGGCGTGCGCTGAAGCGGGAGGTCGTCCGGTTTGCCAGCAACCCAGACAACTTGGACTCCGTGCAGATCGCCCTTAATGATTCTATGGTGGTGGTCGGTGCGGTCAGCAAAGGCCGCTCCAGTTCTTTCCGATTGAATGGCGTCCTCAGGTCCATGCTCCCGTTCCTGGCCTTGGGCCGGGTGAGCCTGGCCCTGCTGTGGGTCGAGACCCTGGCGAACTTAGCAGACTGGCCCTCGCGTTTTCGGCATCTCCCCGCGCCTCGCACGCCCAGGCCTTGGATGGAGCACTACGGGATCACTGCAGCCAGGGCACCAGTAGGCTGGGAATTGTTCGCGGTTGTCGGGGGCATCACCTGTGCTTCCGGTGGGTGCCCCGTCACACATTGGCGTTTTCGACCACGAGGTGGACCGCACACTGTGTGAGGGCGAGGTCGACTGGCTTTGGTTGAGTCCCCCCGGGAATGCATTGATTGGCAGGCCAACCGCGGGCGTCGCCGACAGTGTGCCCGAGGCGGGTTTTCAGTGGCGATGCTGGGAACGGGCACTTGAGCTGGCGGGCGCCTTAGCGGACCATGGAGGTTACTTCGTGATCGTGCACCCCCGGGGCAGCAAGGCCTGGCGAGGCAGAAGCACCGAGCTCTTTCTTCGGCGAGAAAATGTAAAATTACACCGTTGGGATGGCTGTGCTTACGCTTTGCCTGACACGCCGGCACCCCAGCAGCCCATGATCATGCTTTCGAATGCACCGATGGCTGCCCGTGCCTCTACGCAGTTGCTCAAGGGAACACAGGCACAAGGGCCAGGCGCCACCGGGGTCCCCGACGGAGCAGGCCCTTCCTCAGCTCTTTTACCAGGAGATCGTAACAGCACATGCCGCGTGGAAGCAGGGGGGCACACAAACTGAGCCAGGCGGCTCTCTCCTCTGATTAGCGCCGGCACCTTCGCGAGGCAGGGCAGTTCCTTCTTCAGGTGGTGCACCAGCTGGGGGGAGTGTTCACAGAACGTTCGTCACCGGCCTATGTTGACCGCTTCCTGGAAAAGGCCATCTGCCATGCCTATGACTCGGGGGAGAAACGCTACTGGATTGTGCTGGGGGTGCTGGGCATACAAAGAGGACTTCGGATCGCAGGTCCTTTGTTGAAAAACTCGTGGACCTTACTGCGGGGCTGGCGGCGCTTGGAACCGATCAAGCCTCGGATCCCACTGCCTTACCACGTCCTGAGGGGGCTGCTGATCTTCTGCTTGACACGAGGTCTTCAATACCGAGGGCAACTTCGAGCCGAGTGGTGGTCGGCGTTCGTTGGCACGTGGCTTGGTTTCTGTGCTCTTCTTCGGCCAGGGGAAGTGGACTCGCTTAAGGTCGGAGACCTGCTCTTCCCGGTCGATGACGAGGTCGGCCAAGGAGCTGCCCTGGTGGTGAATATTCGGAACCCTAAGACCAAGCGAGTCTGGAATCACCAATTTGCTCTGGCTGAGGAAAAGGACCTGATGCTGTGGCTAAAGTGGTGGTGCAAGGATCGCTCCAGGAGGCAACGATTGCTGATGATAGGCAAACGTCGTTGGGCTGTGCTTTTCAAGCAGGCTCTGGAAGAGATGCAACTCGGCACCTGCGGGTTCACACTCGGATCCCTACGGGGCGGCGGGGCGACCTACCACTTTCGAGTCCACCGGAATATTGGTCAGCTTCAGTATGCGGGTCGTTGGGCCCGGGCGGAAACACTGAGGCACTACTTGCAGACGGCCCTCTCGATTCAGGTTGTCTCTCAGGCCCCAGCAGAAGCCACGAGGATTCTCGACCGATTGCGTGCACATGCTGACTATCTGCAAATGCCTCCGCTTGATGATCTCACAGAGCTGTTAGCTAGCTGAACGAGGGGCGATGGAAGGGCGCATTGCCAACGCCCTGCGCGACCTGGCCAACGCTTTGGACGAGTTGGGCGAGAACCGTGAGAAGCCGGAAGCACCGGCAGCCAACAGCCGTCGGGTACCTTCTCCCAGTGGGCAAAGCCAAGCTTCGTGGTCAGTGGTGAGCGGCACAGAGGGCTACAAGAAAGGCGGCGCCACCGAGAGGGCGGCGGCTACAAAGGGGGCGGAAGCTTCACCTCAGACGGCGAAGAGCTCAGCAGTAGCTTACCACACCGAAGTGTGGGCTTACGTGGTGGTCTCCAATCCTCACGATCCAAGTTTCGTGGGGTACCTGGAAGGACCATCACCGGAAACATGGCGGCGCATAGAGAGGCGCCTTCCCAACGAGCGACTTTGCGGCTCACACGTGAAGTTACGCAGAGTGGCCGGCCGAGCCGAAGCTCTGTCGGTTTGGGGAAAGGGCCACTTCGTGGCCTTAATGTGGTCAGTGCGAACCCACCGGCGTTGTCCTGGACTTCTTCTTTGGCACGTTTGGTGACGCCTTGGAATGGAAATGGGCAAGCCCTGCGGGCACGTTGGTCAACGATAAAATGGAGGACTGTCCTGGCCGTCTTGGTTGTGCTGATGTTCCCACGCTTAGTGGCCCTCTCCATCGCGATCTTCTTTCGGCTGCTGGTGAGGGCAGTGATGAGTTTGGCAAGCCATGTTCTTCGTGAGCTGTGGTTCCAGCTTAATGCAACCGCGGCGGAGCTCGAGGATGCTTTGGTCAACTGGTTGTACGGACAACTGGGATTTACTAATCCCTACGTGCAGCCACCGGCCCTCATCACTCATGATACCGTGCCGGCGCCGCCACCGCCTCCGGCTGGTGGGGGGCAATCCCTCCCAGCCCGCCCTATGGACTTCATCACGTGCTTCCTCCTGGTGCTCAACCTGCGGCGTCCTTACGGAGGGGGGGGCGGAAACGGAGGTCCTGAAGGCTAGCTTCAGCAGTCAACCATCGTCGTGCTCTATGGCATCCCCGATGGCTTCCTAGAGTATCTGTTTTTCTGGAGACCCAGTTGATGCAGATTCCTGTCAGGACGTTCGCACAGAAGCCGATCTGCTGAGTGAGTCCGATGTGCGAGCCCTGGCAATCTTTCCTTCTCAAGTCGTCCACCACCGCCCCGCCACCACGGAGGTCCTGAAGGCTAGCTTCAGCAGTCAACCATCGTCGTGCTCTATGGCATCCCCGATGGCTTCCTAGAGTATCTGTTTTTCTGGAGACCCAGTTGATGCCTCATCCGCCTGGTGTGAAAAAGTCCTTTCGAAGAGTGCAGAGGGCAGTCTCGCAACAGGAATTATGGTTTCGGGTACTACGTAGAGGATCATGGGACTTAGTAAGTAGGTTATAACTGGGGTTATAAGTCCCCTAAGTGGGGTTATCTTAATTATAACCTACTTATAACCTTACTTTCTAAGTCCCATGAGCCTTCAAGTAGCTGCCTTGGTTCAAGACTACCATACCCCCATACCCACCATGTAGTGTATAACAAATGTACACGTATACTATGATAATATCCAAACATAGCAATTGTCGGACGTTCTCCGGTTCGGCCTTGAGGATTTAGGTCGTGGTTTTTTGGGGTTTGGGGCTCTGGCATTCTTGGGCGGGAGGGGGGGGGTGTGCCAGAGGGAAGTAGATCAGAAAAACTTCGACCGCTTTCGTTTCCGGATGACAGCGCATCTCAGGCTTTGCTGTGTAGCCGTCGAGTTTGGGAATTAGACTACTCCGGTTCGGAAGGCATCGTTCTTTCCAGTCTGTGCTGAGTCAGAAACGTCTTCTGTCCCGTTCGTCCAGGACTCGAAGCAGCTCCCGGCATAGAAAAGACGGCACAGGCTCTGCAACATTTCTCAGACGCTCAGCTCCATGCCAAGCCCAACAGCTCGAACCTGTGGAGCCACAATGGGTTTCTGGTTCAGACGGTTCTGGGACAGTCGCGTTCTCAGGGCCAGCGCTGCTTTGAGTCGTGGAATCATTCACAAACTCGGTGTGATTCGAGCTTGGGCAATCGCACGGACTCGGACTGGCCGAAAAGCGTGCATACGCTGAGTGGCCCGAGAAAGCCCTCTCGCGCTCGGTGTGCTCTCGGGAGCTTCTCAAATTCTGAGGTCTCTTCCATTGGAGCTCGCTCAAACGAGGTTGGCTTCAAGCCCCCCTTTCAGATCCCTAACAGAGAAACCCTCTTAGAACCCTTACAGAAACCAACTTGAACCATTAAAAGGCCCCTGAATCCCGAAACCTTCGCCGATGCGGTGCACTTGCCCGTTGCAGGTGGCGAAGCCTTTCGAAGGCGTCTGGGATTTCCAGGAGACGCGGAGACTCGTTGAGGGGCGTTCACGCCCTTCTCATTCTTTTTTTCTGTCATATGGTTTTTGCAGGATTTGATCAGGATTGTTATGACATGAGTTTTTTCGCGGAGTTTCGAGTTGATGTTCAAGTTACGAAGGCTTTGTTGAAGCAGTTCTGCGGTCCGAAAGGATGGGACTTGAGTGGAGTCTCTTCCAGGACAACTCGTCTCTGGCGACGCCTCTCAAGGCCCAGCGGAGGGTCTCCGGGCTTCAGGAACAAAGGACCCCCGAAAAGAAGCGGCACGTTGGTGAGACCCCTGGCAGGACGGGTTGGAGTTTCGAGACTCTGGTCATGTCTCATGCGCCCAAATCTCCAGGGACCTGGACAAAACAGTTTCCACCATCATTCGTGTGTCTGCAGTTGCATGTTCAAATTCATCAGCAGCAACGTCATCACAAGTACCATGACCGTCAAGATCGTGATGATTGCATCGTCATCTCCATCTTCGCGTTGTCATCAGCTTCTTCACCGTACCCGCATCAGCTCACATGACCCTACTGCCACTTGGGCTCAAGCGTTCAGTCAGTGCTCAAGCTCTGCGCTTGGCTGCTAGCTAGCTGATTTTCAGCCTGAAAATACAGCGCATCGGATGTATCTATATGTTCATGTGCTCATTTGCTTCACATTTTGGCTCGGAGGCGCCTTTCCGCGCCGAGACTGAGGCACGGAAAGAAACTAACTGCTGCTGCTTCAATGAGAGACGGGAGATCACTTACCAGAACCCCTTTGACTTTTCGAAACACCATTGCCCAACTCGTGGCTGTATGGTGGGTCTGGGTCTCAATGAGTACCCTTGCCAACAAAGCGGTTACCCTGCCAAGAATGACCTCGTCTGTCAAAAGAGCTCCGGGCCATGCCCAAATCGCACGAGGCAAGCTCTATGGTCTCGCCTGAGGACCAAGGAAGAGAAGTGTTGTTGTTGGGTGCCAGCTCAAAACAAGTTCTTGGAAAACCCTCAGGACTTCTCGCCCTCGCAGTGCCCTTTGCAAGGCTGCATGGTCCAGCATTACAACAACCAGTTCAGAGCCTGTCGAGATGACACTTCACTGGACCCCCGGGACATCTTCTGCGAAAAGACTTCCGTGGAGTGTAAGGATATGGAGGTGCCTCGCGCGGAGGAAGAGATCGAAACAATGAGAGAAATTCCAGACGACGAGCTGGAGGAGCTTGGAGTGAAGGTTTGACAGAAGCACTTCCCTCGTTTCGGGATGGGAAAAAGCAACTTGTATTACCGATCGCGAGTTAAGACACTTCCTAAAATGATCATACTGGCTACTAAACTTGTATCCCTATGATTACACAACCAACCGATGGTTCATTACGGGGGTGTTGGTGTTACTGGACCTTGCTTTGTGGGTCACTTGTGTCCTGAGATTTGGCACTCATGCATTGTGAATGGGGTAGTTCTCTAAAGTGGGGCCCCTCTTTAGGTCTCCAAGATACTGTTGATGGACAAAATCCTGCATGACCCTGAGGACTCTAAACTATGGGAACTATGGTATACTCCTTATAGTGGGTAATGCAGGATTTTGTCCATCAGCAGTAGTACGGGCCCGCTGTGGAGCCATGGTTGGCCCAGCTGTAGCTTGGTTTTTTCGCATTTCCAGCCCCAGGCTTTCCCCAAGGTCGGAGGGCATTGACGGTTTGGGTTTTAGGCCGGTTTTACGGAGCAACATCAGCACCATCAGTGAATCAGCTGGTTCCGTGATATGGTTTTCATAATTGTTTGGTGAGGTGTCTTGGCGGTTCATGGGTGCGGGTATAAAGTAGGATAAATATAATTGTAGCCCAGCTTCGGGGCGTACAACCTCACTTAGGAGGGTCGTGCTTTCAGGCCTTTGCGGCGTTGCTTTGGTGCCCTTCCCCAAGAGCCCTCAAAGCCCGCAAACCCCATAACACCTAAACCCTGAACCGTGCACCCTAAACTAAACCCCCCAAAAAAACAAGCGCACAAGCCTCAACCCCCCGCCCCCCCCCCCCCCTCAAAAGAGGCCCGAAGCCCTAAAGCCCCTTGAAGCCTGCCTCTCTTCAGTCCTCCCCTCTCTTCCTATGGGCTGTTGTGCAGCTGGCCAACATACCTTGGAACAATAGAAGTTAGAAGGGAACCCGCGAAGAGATTTTTCCTCCTTTCTAGGAGTCTAAGAGCCGGTTGATAATTCAAAAGAAGCCTCCTTTCAATTAGGGTTCAGAGCGTTTGGGGTTTAGGGTATCTTTCAAGCTCGTTTCAAACCCTCCAGCGCCGCCAGGTCGAGCACTTGGTCTTCGTTTTGGAGTCCTTGGAATCGCTCCTTTTAGCCGGCAGGGAGGTCATGGGCGTGGGGCCCTCGGGGGAGCTTAGACAAGGGAAGGCTCGCTCTCTTCGAGCTGGCATTTTGGTCACCTTCACCGTCTCCCCTCTGTTTCCTATAGAGGTACCGAGTCATAAATGCTTTGTGCTTTATGATTTCTCCTGTGGTTTCTATAGAGGTGCCTAGTCTTAAATCCTTTTAAGGATTATTTTGAAGCATTCCTATAGAGGTACTTATTGTTCATCAATACCTTAAATAAAGGCTCCAAAGCCACAGCCCAGTCTTTCTTGTCGGGTCGGTTCTTCAAGGCGTCTGCCACGGAGGTTTTGGGGGCTTGCCGGGTTTAGGGCTCCTCGCCAGTACCCTCTCCCCAGAAAAGCGGTCCTCGGTGTTTCGGCGTGTTTGCAAGGGCAGATCCGGGTGTGTTCCTGAATCCCGGGCCTGAACTTCTGAACCCTGAAGAGTTTTTTGTTTCATTTTGTTTTTAGTTATATTTTGAGTTAAAGTTTTCTTTCCCAAAATGTTCGTTGCTTGACTTGCCTCCTTGAAGCCTCTTCTGAAGCAATGTTCCAGATTGGTACTTGTATGGTGACTTACGGATACCGGGATACAAAAAGGGTCTTGGGCTCTCTGGCTCGGTGGCCAGAGCTGCCGAGGAAGTTCTCCCTAGTACTCCCTAAGGTTCCCTTACAGTCCCGTAAGGATTCCTTATACCCTCCCCCCTTGAACCACCCTCCCTTAAGGATCCTATAAAGAGCTGCCGAGGAGGTGGCCGTGCGGGAGATCAACTACGATGCCAGGCCAGGTTGCTTTGCTTTGGTCTGACGGGAAAACCTCGAAGAACTCTTTGCCCCAAACCCTAAACCCTAAACCGTGGCTTTGGAAACCTTGACCTTGGAGCCTGGGTCTCGGGGGGGGGGGGGGCCGGGGAGGTTCACGTTGCAACATGCTTTTGAGACAGACATCATCTTCAGGCTGTTTTCCCCCAAGTAGTAGTAGTAGTAGTAGTAGTAGTAGTAGTAGTAGTAGTAGTAGTAGTAGTAGTAGTAGTAGTAGTAGTAGTAGTAGTAGTAGTAGTCCTGCTCTTTCAAGGGTGTTGGAACCCGATCCCGCTTCTTCACTGCAGTCCAACCTTGGGTTGTCAGAGAGCCGCGTTTGGAACAGCCAGTGTGCAGTACCAAGTGCATGACAACCCGACGGTCAAGACCCGCAATCATAAGGGTCGTTGCTCTGCAAAGGAGACAAGCACGCACGTATACATATACATACCTGTATGTATGTATATGTATATGTATATGTATATATATATATATATACACATACACATACACATACACATATACATATACATATACATATACATATACATAGACATACACATATACATATACACATGCATATACATATGCATATGCATATACATTTACATATACATATACATATACATACATATATATATACACATACATATACATATACATATACATTCATACATGCATACATGCATGCATACATGCATGCATGCATGCATGCATACATACATACACGCATGCATTTCCTTACTTTCATGCTGCTTGCTTTCTGCCTTGTTTCAGCACTTAGTGGCCTGCCTTGATCCTCGTCCGCCTCTGAGCAAAAAGAGGCAACACAAGAACCCCTGCAGACCCCTTTAAAGGAGCCCTTTTTTGGATCCCTTTAAAGGGGCCCTTTTTTGGGGTCTCTTTAAACGGGACCTTACACCCTGAACCAAGGGCCGGGTGTGTATTCCTGACTTCCCAGGCGGCTCATAGCCAGGACGCCCTTGGCCAAGGCCGAACTCCAGTGGCGTTTTGTTCGGACTCGCTTTGTGTAGGGTTTTAGGGGATCTTAGGGTTTTCTTTTAGGGTTTAGGGGTTTAGGGGTTTAGGGTTTAGGGGTTTAGGGTTTAGGGTCTAGGGGTTTAGGGAATTGGTTTGAGGGTTTCGGGTTTAGGGGTTTGGGTTTGGGGTCCTTTATGCAAGGTTCTGAACATGTCCCGAGATTCCAATGCCGTTGTGCCGCAAGGGATAGAAGGGCAGGGTCAGGCTCACTTTGTCAACAAAGCAGCGCAGCCAGGCTGTTTTCCGGCCAATTTGTTTTGTACAGCAGACGGATGCTTGAGGACTTCTCCCTTCGGGTAGGTTGAGCCGTCTTGGGGCGTACGACATCAGTGGTTGTCAATATTAGGGTCCCTTCTGGAGTCCTTATTAAATACGGCACTTAATGTTTAGTGCACCCAAAACTACGGACCCTAATTTTGACAACTACCCACGTGCCGACAGGTGCCCTAAACCCCTAAACCCATAACCCCGAAAGCCTAAACCTTAAACCCCTAAACCCTAAACCCTAAACCCTAAACCCCTAAACCCTAAACCCTAAACCCTAAACCCTAAACCCTAAACCCTAAACCCTAAACCCGAAACCCTAAACCCTAAACCCTAAACCCTAAACCCTAAACCTCTCTATCATATATAGATTTAAACCCTAATGCCTTCGTCGTTTAAGGCCGTCCCTTCGTCGTTTAAGGCCGTCCCTTCGTCGTTTAAGGCCGTCCCTTCGTCGTTTAAGGCCGTCCCTTCGTCGTTTAAGGCCGAATCTCGTTTTTTAAGGTCACCCCCGGGTTTTCGGCCTTAAACGACGAAGGTTCGGCCTTAAACGACGAAGGTTCGGCCTTAAACGACGAAGGTCTGAGCCCCCAGCTTCGTCGTTTAAGGCCGTCCCTTCGTCGTTTAAGGCCGTCCCTTCGTCGTTTAAGGCCGTCCCTTCGTCGTTTAAGGCCGTCCCTTCGTCGTTTAAGGCCGTCCCTTCGTCGTTTAAGGCCGTCCCTTCGTCGTTTAAGGCCGTCCCTTCGTCGTTTAAGGCCGTCCCTTCGTCGTTTAAGGTCACCCGGGTTTAGGGTTTAGGGCTTGGGGCCTGCCTTTAGGGTTTAGGGTTTAGGGCTGGGGGCTTGCCTTTAAGGTTTAGGGTTTAGGGCTGGGGGCCTGCCTTAAGGTTTAGGGCCTAGGGTTTGGGCTCTAGGGTTTAGGGCCTAGGGTTTGGGCTTTAAGGTTTAGGGCTTGGGGTTAGGGCTTTAAGGTTTAGGGCCTAGGGTTTGGGCTTCAGGGTTTAGGGCCTAGGGTTTGGGCTTCCTCCTTACAGAAAGAAGCATGACACATTTCAGGCCGGAAATGTGTCATCTTGTCCTCCTTACAGAAAGAAGCATGACACATTTCCGGCCTGAAATGTGTCATGCTTCTTTCTGCGCAACAAGCGAAACAATAGGTTAACAAATCCATTCATAAGTGCAGGTGGAGGAATCTAAAATAAGTCTAAGCTCGACAACCTTAAATATTTAAATCAGCTGTGGGAGCAATATGAACTGTTGTATTTTCCTAGTGGTGTGGGAAGGCGACATCAAAGTGTGACAGGCTAGGTTGTAGGTACAACTCTCTGAATGATGATGAAGGACTTTATATGGCTTATGTTATGGGATTCTAAGGGTGGGTGGGTGTTATTTCTAAACCCTAAATACAACTCTACTTTAAAACTGCTCGATCCGGAGCAGCTGAACCCTAAACCCTAAACCCTAAACCCTAAACCCGAAACCCGAAACCCTAAACCCTAAACCCTAAACCCTAAACCCTAAACCCTAAACCCGAAACCCGAAACCCTAAACCCTAAACCCTAAACCCTAAACCCCTAAACCCGAAACCCCTAAACCAGGTGAGGGACCTAACGCTCAACGCGCAGCTGATTCGAGGAGTCGAGGCTCCTGGGCCCAGCATCCCCCGGAGACCAGACCCAAAAGGGTTGCTTTGGGTATCTTAGGGGTCATTCTCATTTCTTAGCTTTTTTTTACGGTCCTGGAGTTCAGGTTTGTTTAGGGGTCACTCTCATTTCTTACCCTTATTTTCGGGTTCTAGGGTTCAGGGTTTTTTTTAGAGGCCCAGGATCTTAGCTAAACTCCAGCCCCAAGCCTCAGCGCTCCCCGCTCTCTCGACATGCCCTGCAGCCAAAAATCTCAACTCGGGAGGCGACCGCCAGCATTTTGCTTCAAGTTCGGGATCTATAGGCTCTAGGGGTTTAGGGTTCAGGGGATTAGGGTTAAGGGCTTAGGGTTCCTTTAAGGGTTGTGTTCATAGTTAGAATAGGGTTCCTTTTTGAGGGGTCCTATCAAGGGGTTCTAAGGGGGATCTATAGTAGGGTTCCATGATATAGGGGCCTTGATAATTAGAATAGGGTTTTGGGTCCCAGTATACTATAATTACAACAAGGACCCTCCCAAAATAGTGTAGGTAATTATGAAGGCCCCTACATTAAGCCCGAACCCGAAAGGGGGTTTCGCTGGGAACAAGATTTCAGGAAGCGTGTCGGCTTCGCTGAATTCAGTTTTGAAGAGGCTTCAAAGGCAGTTGAGACTCCTTAGCCTCCCGGCCACGAAACTGCATAGACGCTAAAGCCCTATAGGGATAAGACCCTATACTAAGCCCTGAGGTGGTCATAGGGCTCCTATAGTTCACGTGGCTTGTAGTCGTGCCCTGAAGCCCCGAAGCCCTGAACCCTGAATCTTGAAGAACGACACTGGCCCACAGGGCTCCGAGGCCCTTTTTCTGGACCTTGAAACAAAGAAGTCTTCACATCCGCTGTGCTTAAATCGTGCAGACTGACAGCTCTATTGGGGCTCTAAGCCCTAAACCCTCTACTTGGAGGTTCATGGGTAGTTCTAAGCAGGGCTAGAAGTCCCCGAACCTGGGTTATAACTAAACTTGTTTTACTTATAACCTCACTTCTAATTACCCATGAACCTCCAAGTATCCCTTCTTCCCATGTGGTGAGCTGGGGCTCCAGCGGGGCCAGGTTCATTTCTCCATGCGCCTGGCGGAGGACCGAAGCCACCATATCTTTGCGTGGGGGAGCACAGACGCTGCAGATCTTTGCAGCTGGGTTTAGGGTTTATAGGGAACAGTATTATTCTTTGGGGGTTCTCTGTGTCTTTCGGGTTTTGGTGTTTCGAGGTTTCGAGGTGTTGTTGCTGCGGGCGGCAGGGGTTTAGAAGTTTAAGTTTAGGGCTTTCAGGTTTTCAAGGCCTCCGGGCTCTGGGGGTTTAGGGTTGCAGGTTGGGCTTTGAAGCTCTTTGGAGGTTGGGGTGTGCAATCCCCAGCCAACGCACAGGAGGCCACGAAGCACGAAAGCTGGGACGCAAGACGCTCAAACTAGCACTTCACTTAACCACTTGGAAAGGGGCGAGGGTGATGAAAAGAAGTCCAGCGCAAACGGAGTAAGTCGTAGTAGCCTTGTAACATCCGTAGAGTCGCACGTTGACCCCAAGAGAGGAGACTTGTTTTACAGGCCTTAGAAACCCCTTAGGTGGCTTCCTACACCGCTCAGGTGGTGGTTCCGCTATGGCGATCGCAATGTCCACGAGACCGTGCCGACCCCTCGGCGGCTTCGAGCACGCTCTCAGGGCTTCTCTTCAGATGTCTGCGCAACTCACGCAGGCCCTTAAGCCCTAGGAAACTCTGCACTCTAGAATTTTGAAGGGGCTAAACTCGGCTAAACTCTGAAGCTTTGAAACTCTGATCCCCAAGCCCAAGCTCGTTTTTTTTTATCCCTCTTTACCCAGGCTGTACTGGGACGAGCACTTCGAGTCCTGAGCCCAGCGCGGCTTGCAGAGTTTCAGACCGCAGTTTCTCAGGGCTCAGACTGCTTTTTTGAAGTTTTGAGCCTGAGGTTACCATGGGTTTCGTGCACAGCACAAGCAGTGTGACGCCGCGAAGCTCAACAGCTCAAGTTGTCCTAGGTACGGCGACTCAGACGACATGAGCGATGGTGAAGACGAGGAGGCAGGTGGCCCAAGTGCGAAGAGAGAACAGCGCAAGCCGCAAAGCTCGGATCTGCATTTTCTCCTCAGAACACTGGAGTGTTGCAGCGTCTCCCAAAAGGCATGGGCTCGATCTGAAAGCGAGAACAGGGTCCCTCAAGTTCAAGAAACGGGGCGAGGAGAGAGGGAGGATCCGCTCATTCCCCAAAGCAGAAAACGTGTCTGCCGGCCCGGGCTGCCTGCTTGCGGCTAGCGCCAAGTGCAAGTCCAAAAAAACCCGAAATGCTGAAAATCAAACTTCCAAACCACAAACCGTTTGAATTCACCACTAGGAATATCCCCAAACCCGAAATGACTTGTGGTTCAGGGCCTGGAGGGGTGGAAAGTTCCGGCTCGGGGCGTGCGGCGTTGCCAGGACTCTGCGATGTGACGTTCGGCTCGGTGTCGACGCTGATGTTGAGGCCGGCTGCTGTTATAACTGGGGAGAGAAGTCCTCTAGTAATAGGTTATCACTTCGTTACAACTAGAGTTATCCTACCTATAGCTCCACGTATAACTGCACATGGAGCTCCCAGAGTCTCGTGAAGCTCTACAGCCCCCCGCCGCGAGCCGTGAAGCAGCCTGAGTTCGGCGTGTCGAGGGATCCTGACAGGCCCTGGATCCTAAACTAGGGAATATGGCTCCTTTAAAGGGATCTATAGGGGTTTAGGGTTCCTTTAAAGGGATCTTTACCTCTGGTTAGTAGGGAATGGAGGAATGGGGTACAATTATAGCTACTATTACTACCATTCTTCCATTCCCTACTGACCAAAGGTAAGCTATTTGATTACTAAGGCCCCTATTTTACAGTACCCTTATAGAACCCTTAAAAGTAGCCCTTATAGACCCCTTTATAGGGCCCCTTCCATTCCCGACTAACCAAAGGTAGGTAACCCAAAACCCCAAAACCCCAATCCTAAAACCCTATACCCTTAAATCATAATAATGATACCATATTGCTATCATATTACCCTAAACCCTAAACCCTAAACCCTAAACCCTAAACCAATATAACTACTAACCAAAGGTAGGTAATCGCTTCAGATCACACGGTTCCGAAGGCCGGGGGCTCTGATTTTCCTTTGGGCTTTTCTTGGATCTGAGGAGCAAGGTTCCTTAAAGGGATCTATAAGGGATTTATAGGATTCGATGAGAGTTCTTATAAGGAGGATCATGGGACTTAGTAAGTCAGGTTATAAGTACCCTAAGTGAGGTTATAAGTATAGATACCCTAGTAATAACTCTACTTACTAAGTCCCAGGATCCTTTAAGCAAGAAGAGGCAGAGCCCAAACCTCACATCCCATACCTCCCCTACACTTTCACTTGGATTCTCAACAAGCCTGCTAAGCTGACTTGTGTGTGGGTGTGTGTGTGTGCACACAAGCAATAAATAAGTTCAAACACATAAATGCATAAACCAACGAACAAACAAACAGGCACATAAATGAAGATATAGGTACATACAGAGAGATAGAAAGATCGATCGTTTGACACGTACTCAGGTGCGCTCGCTGCATATCGTGCTTGCGGAGAAGCTGCTCCAGGCTGGCACCAGAGCTATCCAGAGGGTCCTAAGTTTCTACAGAGGAGAATCTCAGGTTTCTATAACAGGAACTACTATTATAGTTCGGGTAATTATGCAGGTAGACCCCTTGGGCTATTGGTGGGCCGGTGAGGGCGGGTGTTGCGTGCGTTTACTTGCGGAAAAGCTGCAGGATGAACCCATTCAGACGGGGAATTGGAGTGCTGAGGCGTCGCCTCGCAGCGCCCGTGCAGACGGATAAACTTGACGATCGCTGAAAGGCAGCAGTTGCCCATTGTGCTTGTCAAGCCGTGTCCGGCATTCCGAGACGATGACGCCCTGCACACGGTCTTTCCTTTCGAAGGTTTGCGCCCCCCGCTCTGTGCTCTCGCTCTTGCTCTCCCCATCTTTTTTAACGCTTTGCCCTTTGTGCAATGGCTGGCCCGCTCTTTGAGGGTGCAGTTCCGGTGTGGGACCGTGCTGTGCCTGGCGTCCGGCTCCGTTCAGCTCCGAGGGCGGCGATTCTGTGCTTGTGCGCTTCTGCTGACACGGCCTTCGTCGTTCCTCTGGCGCGTGTGGTGGTCTGGTTGTCCATGAGGTCCCTACTTGGAGGTTCATGGGTAGTTATAAGTGGGGTTATAAGTAAGATAAGTATAGTTATAACCCATATAAGGGGGACTTCTAACTCTAACCTTGCATATAACTACCCATGAACCTCCAGGTAAGATCCTTTAAGCCCTAAACCCTAAACCCTAAACCCTAAAAACCCTAAACCCTAAACTCTAAACCCTAAAAACCCTAAACCCTAAACTCTAAACCCTAAAAACCCTAAACCCTAAACTCTAAACCCTAAAAACCCTAAACCCTAAACCCTAAACCCTAAACCCTAAAAACCCTAAACCCTAAACCCTAAACCCTAAAAACCCTAAACCCTAAACTCTAAACCCTAAACCCTAAAGAAGCAACCGGGTTCGGGCCCGAGGCCGGACGAGGTCGCAGCAGCGCAGCAGTGGAACCCTTGACCCCTAAAGCCCCAAACCCTTACTTGGAATTTCAGGGGACTTAGTAAGGAAGGAGTATAATTACCCAAAAACTAGCCCAATATATATTGGGGTCATAAATATAAATACCCCAAAACCTAGCCCTAGTTACTAAGTCCCATGATCCTTTAAGTAGACTCCCAGGCTCCAAAGCCAGCTGCCCCCCCCCCCCCCCAAAGCCCGGAAGTCCAGAAGAGCTCTTTGCCCTGGCAAGAGTGATCCAAGAACCTGTTACTTCAAGGGGTCATGACCCAATTTTGGGTTTAGGGATGAGTCACTGTGGGTTTAGGGTTTAGGGTTTCGGGTTTTGGTTTAGGGAGGAGTCACTGTGACTATGCCGTCATAATCTAGCACTCCCCCCGCAACTACACGAATGTGTGAACTCTCACATGTTGCGGCACTGATTTACCAGGCCTCTGTCGGAAGGATGTCACTGATGGTGCAGAAGGGAGGTCTTGTTAGTTTTGGGTCCTGAAGGGGAATACTTTGTCACTTGTGTCGTTGCAGTCGTCCCCGCTTTGGTGCTGGTGCTGTTCTTGTTGCTTCTGCTTGCTGTATCTCAGCAGGATAGCTCATTGTTGCTCGAAGTCATGTTCAATAGTGTATTACGGCCTGCTTCCTGGACAAGGGTTCCGTGATAGTTCTCCAACCGGTAATTGGAAGCGACCATTTCTTGGTTGGCACAAGTGGTACTTTGTGTCGGCTCATGTCACGTGTTTGTACACTATGCTGGTTCACTGTGTCCCAGATTCCAAAGTCTGTGTTGGCTGTCTGAATCGTTTGAAGTTCTGTCGGAACAAGTTCTGTTAGTGGGATCGAAAGGACCTATTGTTCCGAGATTGTTCCTTGCTGCGAAGTGTATTCCAGTGTATCCAAGTCCACAGTCAAGCATTACAGTCCTTTCGTTTTGTGGTCAGCGGATCTAATGACGTGCCTGATCTTGGAATTGTGGTAGAGCTGGATCTCGAAGCTGTGAGTGTTGCCGAAAAGTCTGTGTCGCAGGTGAAGGAGACATGATGCAAACTCACTGTTTGGCTTCCGATGCCTTCCAGGCCAGCTGCCAAACTATACTTTGAGGCCATATGCATTGTCTTCCAGGGTAAGACGGCGTCACCTACTGCGATAGCCTGCTGGTGCCGCAATTGTCTAAAGATTGGGCAAGAGAGCGTACTGACTTATCAACTGCAGCCATGCATCATAAGATTCCACGGTTTGCACGCCACAACTGTTGACCACATAATTGGGGTTTCGGAGCGTTCGTCCAAAGGGCCATCAACATGACGCCGGTCTTTGATGACAGTGCCCACACGGTCCAAGAAACATGATGGCAACGCACTCTAGATCTCCAAACTTGTTTCCTACAATTAGTGAGGATGCCAAGCTGCTGCACTGTGCAAACCGTGAGCTGTGGCTTGAGATTCGTCATGCGCGAGCTTTTAATTCTTTGAAGTTGTGCTTGCAAATGTTTGAGATGCTATGACAAACTTGTTTTTAGAGAGCCCTCAGCTGAGGGCTTCAGTTAGCATTCAGAGCCTTGGATTGTTTGGAACGTGAGTAGCTTCTTCCTGCCATGGCCAAGTACGATGCAGACATGAACGCATTCATCGATGCCGGCGGCGGTGTCAAGAGGAAGGCAGGCACGCAGGCTACGACGAAGGATCCCGCTGCACCAAAAAAGCCGGTAGGGGGTGGGTTTGGTTGCTTCCTGGCGCAGAACAGGGCGGCTTTTTCGAAAGATGTGAAAGGCCAGCCAGCCACAGCCGTTACCAAGCTTGCCTCCAAGAAATGGAAGTATCTCAGCGAGGACGAGAAGAAGGTCTACCAAGAGGAGTACGAAATGAAGAAAGCCGGGTACGAACAGGCCAAGAAGCTGTATGTCCGGCTAGCCACCGACAGGGAGGCTGAGAAGCATGTGAAGAAGGTGCGGCTGGCCATGGGGAATAAGGAAGCAGCAAAGGGAACCGAGGATGCCGAGAAGGCAGCTGCCAAGGAGAAGAGTGCCGAGAAGGAGATCAAGGCCAAGGCTAAAGTGGCTAAAGCGGCAAAAGCCAAAGCTAAAGCCAAGGCATCCCCCCGCGAAAGCAGAAGGCCAAGCATGAAGGTGCTGCCATTGGCGCCTTTTGACTGTTTCTACGCGCAGATCCGGGCGGGTGCCAGGCTATACAACTCTGTGCCAATTTCAGCCATCGGAAAATCGGCAAGTTACAGATGGGCGATGCTCGGCGAGGACGGCCGCACGGCCTACCGAGAGGAGTATGAAAGACAGAAAGCCGAGTACGAGGCCGTGAAGTCTGCAGAGCTGGCTGGCATTGACCAGGAGGAGATTGAGAAGCTTGGTGAGATCCAAACCAGATCCGCCCCTTGAACACACATATCTTACAGTAAAACGTTGCGGACTTCTGAAATGGGTGTTCTCTTTCAGGGGACTGCTGTAGCACGTGTTGTAAATCGGGAAGGAGTTCACCACCCAGTTTTCAGTTTGGATGGGCTTGGGAGGCAACTTAAAATTCTTGATTGCGTTTGAGTGGACTTGGGGGGAAATTGTTGATGATGTTGGCGTGGGCTTGGGGGGAACCTTTCTTATGGTGCTTGGCAATTGGATGGGCTTAGGGGGAACTTGTTGATGGCCTTTGGATGGGCTTGGGCGGGGGGGAACTTTTTTGATGGCATTTGGATGGGCTTCCCCCCAAGTGAAAGTCCAGATCACAGAAAGCCCAATTCCAGCACGTAAGCTGGAACTACATGCCCTTCTCCACACGTACTTGGTTTGGCAACCTGCTTGAAACACTGATCATTGTAGACCAATAAGAACTTCATGGTTTCCAAAAGGATAAAGGGGTCTGTACAGGGCTTCTTGCTGAGGCATGCATGAGGGCCTTCATCGATGCTGGTGAGAAGAAGGGCACCAAGAGGAAGGCAGACAAAGCAGTCACGATGAAAGACCCCACAACACCAAAGAAGCCAGCAGAGGGTGCCCTTGGCAGTGGCTTCCCCGCACAGAACAGCGCAGCCTTTTCAGCAGATGCCATAGGCCACCAGCCACAGCTGCCACCCAGCCTGGCCCCTGGAAAGGACGCCCAGCAAGAGCATGAGTATGCCCCGCTACCCAGCGCCGAGAAGGAGGAGACGGAGAAGGCGCAGTCAACAGCCTGCGATTCGCCTGCATTGCCTCTGCCTGCAATGCTTCTGCCTGCAGTGCCTTTGCCTGCAATGCCTCCAATCCTTCCGCTCGAAATCGCAAAATACGCAAAGCGAAGGGAGAAGGAGCGCTTGGAGAAATTGGAAAACAATCGCAGAGACCTGGAGCATTATAAGGGGAAGGCTCGGCGTGAGAGGGACAGACGAAGGGACTTGGAGAAAGAAGTGGAGCGCTACAAGAGGAAGGGTAAGCGCTTGGAGGAGGACGTGGAGCATTACAAGAAAAAGGCCCGGCGTGAGAGGGACCAACGAAAGGACTTGGAAAACGATGTGGGGCACTACAAGAGGAAGGCTACGCGCGAGAGGCGGGGATTTGTTGTCTTGTTTGTTTTAAACTTTGTTGTTTTGCTTGTGGTTTTGTGCATGAATTCCGACGACAATTGCTGCTACCCCCGCTGCTACGTTTGCTGCTTGCTTCTACCACCACTGCGATTGCTACGTATTGCTATTGCTGCTGCTGTTGCTACTATGACCTACGACGACTACTCACTACTACTGCAACTGTTACTGTCACTGCGACTGCTACTGCGACAGCTGCTGCCTGCTACCTGTGTCCTACTGCCTGCTTCCTGCTGCCTCTACCTGCTACATTGGCGTGGCCGTCCTCAGCTACTGTGCTCTATATAGGCCCTAGACGCCCTAGATGTTTGCTACCCGACTTCCCGCTTGCCCTCCCGTGATGGCGGCGGACGTAGCGCCAAAGAAAGGCATATTATTGAATTGAATAATTGGTAAGCCCTGCCTTGGGCGTAGGCTGTTGGTGTCCACCGAACTTAATGCGGGGGGGATACTGGGCCCGGGCCAAGGAGCACCTCGGTTTTGGCCAGACACCAGCAAGTTCAGCAAGCTATTCCAAAAACAGCCTAGATATGCAACTTCCCATGCTGAAAGAAAGCGACACATGCGAGACATAACAAAGAAAGAGATGCAAGTAGCGATCACCTCTGAGGACCAAACGACGAGATTTGGAGGACCGGCTGGAGGTGCTCTCTGTGCTGTATCTGAGAGAAGGATACAGGGTGCAGGCTGGAACAGGGCAATAACATGGATGCGCATGAGTGCGGCTCCAATTGCCAGGTTTTTCAGACACCGAGGTTCTTACTTTGATTCTCACTCTCACACTCACTCTCTATCTGTCTGTCTGTCTGTCTGTCTGTCTGTCTGTCTGTCTGCCTGCCTTCGCGAGTTGTATCCCTCTGGCGCTCCGTTCCCAGTCTTTGACGAGAGGCCTCTGCTGCATGAACGCTGGGATGAGCAATCGGGAGACTTCTGCAAACTATCGGTGAAGATTCTTGTTGAAGGTGACGCTGTGCCGTGGACTTGGGGCAGATTGTGGGGTTCAACATCTTCAGTGAGTGGACCGACAGGCGACAGGAGCAGCACAGACCATTTGCTTGAAAGGCTGCAAGGCCTTACCTGCTATGTTGTCAGCACGTAGAGATTTTCTAGGCGCAGAGCCCCGGCGACCAAGCATAGGATGTGGATGGTATATATGCCTGGGAAAGTGCATGAAGGAAAACGTCCAGGCCGGCGGAGAAGCTGGTGTTAAACTCATCGATGGCCGGGACATGGCTTTCAAGTAGTACCAGCACGGCACCTCTTGAGGTGCTCCGACGGATGTTTGTTCTGGCATGGGTGAGATCCGCAATGGAAGATAGCGGAAGGGTGTTCCGGCAGCTGACAGACGTTCATATGCTGGTTGCAAAGTCTCCTAGCTGGAAACAAGATGCTGTATGTGAGCGGATGAAAATAGCTTGCGCCGGATCTGGCACATGATCAGGAGTTGTTGCCCCCAGCCAAGCCGCTGCCAGTCCCGGATTGTCATGCACAGCGTAACTTCCTGACCCCCAACCGCCCCAGTCTCCCAAACCTTGAAGCCCACTTCCGAAAGCACCTTTCCAAAGCACCATCCAAAGGCACGCAGGCCCCATTTCTCTCTATGATCTGTTTCAAACCGTCCTAGTCCTAGTTAGGTTCAGTTAGGCACATCTGTAAACTCAGATGTGTAAACACCGCCATGGTGCAAGGAGGCTGTAGATTACATACTGCAGTGATGCTGCCATGCATTGCGTGCTGGTCAACACATTAAGGAACTGCAGGAACCCATGTTGTTGTTGTTGTTGCATCACTCTGAAGCCGTCAGATGTTAACCTGAAGTTCGGAAGTTGAAGGTGAAAAGCTACTGCGACGCAAGCTGCACCTGAACAAAGCTGCCTTCTTAGTAGTACGCTCACTGCGCGAGTCCGTAGCAAAAATGCTGACTTCTTGCTTTCCCACGCCTTCAATAGGCACGTTCTGCTTGCGCGAGTGTACCAACGTTCTCTATCTTGCAGCTCCTTTGCTTTGCATGGTATCTTTGCTGGATTCTCAGCCCCTGCTGCAGGGTTCCCGCACTGCCAGCTTCATTGGCCTTTTTGGTTGCGGCTACACGAGGTGGCCATTCGGCCAAAGCAAATCCTGGGCACCTGTCCATGTAAGCCATGCTTTGCTTGCTGGTTTTTGTTCGGGACGGGCACGAATCCAGATGTTCAGGGCCACATCCTTGCTGATAATTTCACCGCTAACAAAGGGCACCGCGGCTATGTGGCATGGACCTTGACGTATCAACTGGCATTCTCTTCTGCTTCCTATTTAAACTATTACAGCATTCGGTGAACAAGTACTCCTCATCATGGCAAGTTCCCTTCAGAAGACCGTCAGTAGTGACGCTGTTGGACACAACCAGAATGACACATTGTCCCGCCGTCAATTCCTTTAACGGAAGGTCACCAAACATTGCGCAAATGCCACCGAGCGTTCTGTTGCTACCAGCTACACCTTGGGAGGAGCTTGGGAACCTGATTGAGAAACCTTGTGCCTTTACTGGGCTTCCTTATATAAATGCTAGTATTTTGGGGCTATATTAATCAGGTTCCTACATTAGTATGGTATTTTGCAGGGTTGGGAGGGTTGCAGGTCAACCCATACGCTGCCCTGAAACCCTGAGAGCTTTCTGCCCTACGCGTGGTTCCTAACCCGGCCACGGTCTCCGAACAGTGGGTTCTGGATCGTAAACCTCAGAGCCGAAGCGCTAAACCGGTACTTTGAATCCTAAATCCTAAACCCTCTGGGCCAAGTCCCTAAGCCTTACTAGGTAGGCCGTTGGGATACTTTATGTTTTCACTATTTTTCACTTATTGGGCTTAGTAGGACCCTCATTGACGAATACTTGTCAGAGGCTTCAAAGGCCCTAGGCCTTAGATCCTTGAACCCTCGGAGCTCCCCAAGCCAGGCGTCGGCCAACGCCTGCATGAGGTTCCAAGGACGCGAGAGGCGACAGCCGCGCCGAGCAGGCACACAGGGTCAGGGGTTGGCTTAGTCTAGGGATCTGAATACGATAGTCTACCCCAAAAGCCTGTTTCTTCATTTCGGGTGTCGTTTGAAGTTTGAGCAACCCCCAAAACCTAAACCCAAAACCCTAGACTCCAAACCTTCCCTAGACCCAGAACCCACCAAAACCCAAAGCCCTAAACCCCAAAGCCTAAGCCGTAAATCTTACACCCCAAACCGTAAACCCTGAACCCCGAACCCGCAGCTCTAAACCCGAAAACTTCAAACCTTCAGCCCTACAAGGAATAATCACGATAACCCGGAAAGAAACCCCGAACCCAAAAAGGAGTAAACCGAGCCCTAGGGGATAAATGAAGCCTGAAAGAAACTCGAAACCCTGAAAGGAGTGAACCAACTACAAACAGACACCCAGCGCCAACCGGACCAGCACAAGGACGGCCCCAGAGTAAAGTTGGGCCAGAACCGTTACTTGGAGGGTCATGGGACTTAGTAAGTAAGGTTACAAGTACCCGAATTGGGGTTGTACATATAGTTACACCGAAAATCATTCTAGCGGTAAGTCCCATGATCCTTTAAGGAGAGGAGTAAGATAGAAGGAACCCGAAACCTGAAACACGCACAGAGAATACTGTACCCAAAACAAGACGCAGATAATCCAGTGAGCATCCCAAAGCGTGGCAGGTCCCACCAAACCGCGAACGACAGACGCAGATAAGTCACCAAAAAGCGCAGATAAGTCTGAACTGGAGTCAGAATAATCTTATGGCCATTTTTACGCATTCTGCGACCTTGATTGAATCCTAAGCCGATGTTTCGCTTAAATCTGAAGGCCGGTTCTTCACAGACGCGGCCTCGGTCTTAGGATGAGCAAGATGTAGGGGAGGGTTTTTTTTGACAGTTTGACGGGTCTTTCTTTGCCTTTGAGGTTAGGAACTGGGCCTCGTGTCCGGAGTTATACGTGGGCCGGTGAGGGCGGGTGTTGCGTGCGTTTGCTTGCGGAAAAGCTGCAGGATGAACCCATTCAGACGGGGAATTGGAGTGCTGAGGCGAGCGCCCGTGCAGACGGATAAACTTGACGATCGCTGAAAGGCAGCAGTTGCCCATTGTGCTTGTCAAGCCGTGTCCGGAATTCCGAGACGACCTTCAAAGCCTCAGTGTCCTTGAAGACCCGACGCCCTGCACACGGTCTTTCCTTTCGAAGGTTTGCGCCACCCGCTCTGTGCTCTCGCTCTTGCTCTCCCCATCTTTTTTAACGCTTTGTTCTTCGTGCAACGGCTGGCCTGCTCTTTGAGGGTGCAGTTCCGGTGTGGGACCGTGCTGTGCCTGGCGTCCGGCTCCGTTCAGCTCCGAGGGCGGCGATTCTGTGCTTGCGTGCTTCGCGTCGAGGAGGCCCGTGAGCGCTCGTGTAGACAGGAGCAGTGCTCTTGAAGCAGAGGTCTGGCTGAGTTTTTAGGGTAGCGGCTAGCATCTGCACAGCTTTGGGACTTAGGTCGGACGACGGAGGCCCCGATGTCCACGCCGGAGAGGGCCAGGACGATGATGATCTGATTCGGAAGAAAATTGCTCGTGCTTGTGTTCTGAAGCATTGAGGGTTTCGGCTTTGGTCCGATACCGTTCCTTTTGAGCAATAACACGTTCAGAAAAGGTTTCAGCTTCTCGCAGCCGTAGCTTCGTCGTGAGTTCGTTAGCAAGCAGCTGAGTGACCTTGGCATGCTTCCGCTGCACGTGTCGCAGCCAAGCTCCTCGGGACCTTGCGCCGATATCCGAAGCATAAAGCCTAAGCCCCGAATCCCTGAGCCCAGCCTTAGCCCCCTAATAAGCTCAAAGCACATCCCAAGATTTCATTAAGCCTTCCTGAATGGTAGGAAACAGGCATGCAAAGAGTAGCCGGCCCTTGCCGGCAGCAGGTCATAGCCTTTCTCAGATGTTTGCTTCAAGGTGGACGGTCTCAGCCGCGTCGGCTCAAAGTGTGACGTACTTTTCTATCCTCTTACCGTCAGATGGCTGCTCCACTGCGATGCAGCCCTCTCCTTGTGGTTCTGGTTTTCCCCTGCGTGGTTGGCACCGGAGCCCGGGAGTGTCCAACCGAAGGCTGCCAGGCCTCCAAGGGCGGGAGCTTGCTGCAGGCGAAGGCTGCGCAGAGCCGCCTGCTCCTGAACCTTTCTCAGGCGGAGTTTAGCTTGAAAAGCTTTGAGGAGGAGCACGTTGGGGTTGACTTGTCAATTCTACACTAAGGCTCTTTTTGTGGTGATTTCGGGTGCATTCGATTCTTGTATTGTATTTCAGTGCCACGCGGCTTTCGGGGTGGAAGAACAAACACTTTGTTCAACCCCAAGCCTTTGCAGGCAGACGGCAGAAGCCTCGCCCTTCACCGCCGTGCTTCGCGGGCTCGAGCAGCGGCGAAAGGCTCACGTATAGTGGGAGACGGTACAGGGGCTTATTTATTGTTCAGGGTTTAACGTGGAGTTTAAGGCAACCGTTATAGTAATCCGTCGGGTTCTCACCGGATCGAGTTGTTCCGGGACATGCTGCTTGCCGGCCGTGCACAGCCGAGAATTCTAAGCGAACACACGACAAGATACTACAATATTTTCGAAATACTACACTACAATGGACTGTAACCTACTGTAACATACCATAATATGCCGTAGACCCTAATACAGTACCCTAAATAATAGGATCCTTATTATAAGGACCCCCAAAATCAGGTATAATATACCATAATATACCATAACATACCATAATACTATACCATAATAATACCATAATATGCCATAACAATACATTAGACTTTGTCCAGCCCCGAAGGCCGAGGCAAAGAGCGCAGCCGAGAGGAGACTCTGGATGCCGCCGTGGCCTCCAAGGCCTTTGACCTTACTCTTGGTTAGTAGAAAAATGGAAGAATGGTAGTAATAGTACTTATATGGTAGTAATATGATAGCAATATGGTAGTAATAGTAGTTATGGGTTTTGGGTTTAGGGTTTAGGGTTTATGGAAGAATGGTAGTACTTGTAGTTATAGCATTCCCTACTAACCAAGGCCTTTGACTGGGTGGACGACGTTGTGGACGCGGGGGACTTGGACTTCTTGGGTTTAGGGTTAAGGGTTTGGGAGTTGTATATATATATATATATATATATGTACACACACACACACACATGCGAACCCACGGATGCATGTATGCATGCATACTTGCACACTTCATGTATTCACATGCATACATGCATGCGCGCATGCATGCACACATACATGCAGGCAAACCCGTTAATGCAATCCGCAATGAACGCTTTCCTGAAAGCCAACACTCCTAAGTCTCAACTCTCAGTCTGAAGCCCCAAAGCCCTCACCCGAAGCCACAAGTCCAGAGCCCTGCGGAGTGAAACGCACATCCCAGCATGAACACAAAATACCTCAATTACCACACAATCCCGTTGATAATATTTGCATTCCGTTCCTGAAAGACTTCTCTAAGCCCTAGACCCTGAACCCCTCCACCTGCCTTAAGTCCGTGTATGGTTATCATATGATAACATATGATGTAACATGGTATAGTATATGTATGGTATAACATAGTACAATACGAGATAATATGATATACAATGACGAGTATGGTGGTTCCTTATTCTGACTGTAGTATAATACACCCCAAAACCCTATTCTAATTATTAATTATAGAACCCTACTATAGACCCCTTCTAGATCCCTGTTAAGGAACCCCTTAAAGGAACCCCAAATTAAGGCCCCTTTTTCTACATCCAATCCCGAGCGGGAAGCTCAGTCCATGGTCGATGTCGCGAACACCGTGGCCGACTATGGCAGCCAGATCGGCACCGAGCTGGCGGATGTTGGGCTCCAGGTGCGACCCTAAACCCTAAACCCGTCAGTGTTTATAAACCCAAGCTCTACGGTGAGGACCCGACGACTCAGGATATATATATATATATATATATATATAGGATCTATTTGGTTCCAAATTAAGGTAAGTTTGCTAAGGATACCAATATTTCGGATTTTGCCCCCTGGTGGCATCTGAAGCTCCGGTAGGTCCTCAGGGTCTTAGAACTTAGGCAGCAGGGCTCAGCGCGCCGCTCAAAGAAAGCTTTGCCTTGTGATCCAGGCAGCTCTTTGGGTTTAGGGTTACAGTTTAGGGCCTAGGGGGCTTTGAGGATGTCTTGGGGGGTCCTTATGTAGTATATAGTGGCCGTAATCATTAGAATCGGGTTGTGGTATAGAATGCTATAGTTAAAGAAGGGCTCCTATATCCCGAGAATCCCTAGAGCTTAGAGAGCAGAGACCCTAACAAGCAGAATAGGGTTTTGAGGGTATACTGTACTAGTCGTGTGGGGGCTAGAAGGGTAGACTCTTCCTAACCAGCCAGACCGAAGTATTACACCCTGATTCCCTTCACCCCCACAGAGCCTGCACAGAGGCCGGCAGCGTCGCCGGAAATTCTGCGCTCGTCATCGGAAAGTCGGTGCCTTGCCGGGTTTGGGATTTAAGGTTTAAGCTTTAGTTTGTGTAGCTGTATTCATGATCGCACAACATCTCGCATCAGGTAGCATTTTCCACAACCTTTTGTGTTTTCGTTGCGTCTTCTGCTCGACGTGTTCTAAACACTTCTACGCCCTACAGCCTAAGCAGCAAAGCCTCACACTAGACACTACGCCATGTCCTACAGTCGAAGACCGGAACCTGTCAAAGGGTCGCCTGCTTCAGGCGTCAAACCTTGGAATGGCTTTCAAGGGTTATTTACAGGGGCCTTGAGAATTAGATTAGGGTTCCCTTTAAAGGGGTCTATAAGGGATCTATAGTAGGGTTCTATGGTATAAGGGGGAGGCCTGAACAGCTGAGGCTTAAGGGCCTTCAGGGTTTAGGGTTTATGCTAACCTTGGGTTTAGGCCCGAAGTTTACGGGATGCAAACCTGGTTTTCGGGGATATCCAAGGTGGTGACCGTTGCGGAGCAGACCTACAAAGCTGTGCCCAGCGAGATCAAAGCAGCGGCCAGCACGTTGGGAAGCGAGGTGCAGATCCGCAGATCATCGTTTGGGGGCAACCCAAAGCCCAAAACCCCTGAGCTCTTGAACCCTGAACCCAGACCCTAGAACCTGAACCGTAGAACCCTAAACTAACCCCTAAACCCTAAACCGTAAACCCTAAACCCTAAAGCCCTAAAGCCCTGCAGGTGCTGAGTGCGGGAGTTCTTGTTGTCAGCAAGCCGGCCTGCACTTCGAGTGTGAGCGTTGCGGAGTCTTCTGGGTTTAGGGTTTAGGGGATTAGGGTTTTTTGGGTTTAGGGTTGAGGTTTAGGGTTTAGGGTTAGGGTTTAGGGTTTAGGGTTTAGGGTTCGGGGTTAGGGTTTAGGGTTTAGGGGTTTAAGGTTTCTTTGTGCTACATTTCGTTTTATTCTTCGCATCCTATTCTTATCTATTATGTTCCATTCTTGGGGTTTGGAGTGGGGGGGGGCTCTCGACCATTAAACCCTAAACCCTAAACCCTAAACCCTCAACCCAAAACCCTAAACCCTAAACCCTAAACCCTCAACCCTCAACCTTAAACCCTCAACCCTAAACCCTAAACCCCAAACCCTAAACCCTAAACCCTAAACCCTCAACCCTCAACCCTCAACCTTAAACACAAAACCCTAAACCTCTCTTTCATATGATAATTTAAACCCTAATACCCTTAGTCGTTTAAGGTCAGCCGGGGCCACATTCTGCAGCAAAACAGGGCCGTTCTTTTCGTGTGCCTGCTCTAAGGCCTTAGTCGTTTAAGGTCAGACCTTAAACGACTAAGGGTTTGACCTTAAACGACTAAGGGAACCCGTAGTCGTTTAAGGTCAAACCCTTAGTCGTTTAAGGTCAAACCCTTAGTCGTTTAAGGTCGAACCCTTAGTCGTCAAATCCTTAGTCGTTTAAGGTCAAACCCTTAGACGTTTAAGGTCATTAGGGTTTAGGGCCTAGGGTTTGGGCTTTAGGGTTTAGGGCCTAGGGTTTGGGCTTTAGGGTTTAGGGTCTAGGGTTTGGGCTTTAGGGTTTAGGGCCTAGGGTTTGGGCTTTAGGGTTTAGGGCCTAGGGTTTGGGCTCTAGGGTTTAGGGCCTAGGGTTTGGGCTTTAGGGTTTAGGGCCTAGTTTGACAAGCCAAGTTGCAGGTAGAACTCGCTGAATGATGATGAAGGACTTTATATGGCTTATGTTATGGGATTCTAAGGGTGGGTGGGTGTTATTTCTAAACCGTAAATACAACTCTACTTTAGAACTGCTCGATCCGGAGCTGCTGAACCCTAAACCCTAAACCCTAAACCCTCAACCCTCAACCCTCAACCTTAAACCCTAAACCCCTAAACCCTAAACCCTAAAAACCTAAACCGTGGCCCGGACCCGCAAACTTCCAAGCCTGAAAGGCTCAGGGTCCCAGGGTCTGTAGGGTTTTGGGCTTTGAGTACTTGGAGGTTCATGGGTAGTTATAAGGGTTCCTTTAAGGGTGCCTTTAAAGGGATTTATAGGGATTCCATAAGGGTATAGGGTTTAGGGCCTACTTGGAGGTTCATGGGTAGTTCTACGTGGGGTTAGAGATATGGGTTATAACTGTAGTTATCCTACTTAGAACCCTACTTGTAACTCCCCATGAACCTCCAAGTAGGACGAAGTGCTGCACAGACATCCAGAGAGCCCAATACCCCTTAATTAAGGAATATACCTTAAATCATAATATTAAGGCCCCTAGAATTTAAGCAGTCTTCCTTAATTAAGGGATATTGGGCTCTCTGGGCATGCCATCAGCTTCCATCTGCTCCTCGCTTTCGGAGGGAAGGAGAAGCCGATCCGGGGGGGAGGTTTGAGAGTGGCTTAGGGTTTAGGGTTTAGGGTTTAGGGTTTAGGTTTTAGGGTTTAGGGTTTAGGGTTTAGGATTTAGGGCTTAGCCACAGCTCAACCCCAAGCCCTAAACCCCAAGTGCTGAAGCCCTGAACCTTGAAAAACTGAACTCGAAGCCCCTAAATCCCGAACCCGGCACTCAAGAGACGTAAAACATCCGCGAACCACCCAAAAGCCGGTCACCTAAACTACGGTTGATGATATAAATCTTGCATTATTCCCACAGTTTAGGGCCCTTAATGTAGTGCAGGATTAATATCATCAACCGTACCTAAACTCAAGTCTTGATCTGCTAATCTGCCCCAGGCGTGGGGGAGGCCGCAGCAAAGGCCGCCAGCCGCCTCAGCCAGGACTCTGCGAAGCCTTGTGTTTTGTGGGTTTAGGGTTTAGGGTCATGATCATGTCCAACGATACTAATGCATACATGCTTGTATGCATGCACATAGTTGCATATGTATGGTTACATATATTATATTTCGGGCTGTACATTCATGGTCAAAGGGGCTTCGAAAGCCATCGCTCAACCCTGAACCCGAAACTCTAAAACCCTAAATCCTAAACCCTAAACCCTAATCCGAAAATCCTACGACCTGATTCGAGCCGCCAGGAGGGGCTCCAGAAGGCTGCCCAGAGCTTGGAGCAGGGCGTCAAGCTCGCTGGCAAGGTGGCCCAGGCGCGCCGCGTCGCTGGGCGTGGGTGTTTTTGACGGGTTCTTAGGGTTTTTTTTGGGGTCAGGGTACTCTAAACCCTAAACCCTAAACCCTAAACCGTGTGGGCTTGGTTTCGGGACTTTGGGGTTAGAGGTCAAGGGTTGCACTGGTTGGAGAGCTGGGAGATTCAAAGTCCACCAGTAGTTGCGCCGACTACACGAGCTCCCTTAAAGGGATCTATAGGGTTCCTTTAAAGGGATCTATAACAGAATCTATAAGGTTTAGGGTTTAAAGGGAGCTCCAGAAAGTTGGAATATGGTAGATCCCTTAATGGGGGTTCCTATAAAGTACCCTTAGTAGTATAGATCCCCAAATTAAAGGGAGCTCCAGAAAGTTGGAATATGGATTAATGGTAGGATCCCCTATAATTTACCTTAAAGGGGCTACGATAATGATATTCCAACTTTCTGGCTTCTACTGTATGATTGAATCCTGTTTACAGCAAAAAGACACCGTTTAAGCACGGAGCATCCAGGCCCGGAAGCCACAGTCTGCAAAGTCTGAGCCCCGGAGCAACAAGCCCAAGCCCGGAGCCCACGCTCCGCGCTCCGCCGAAATGCAAGAAAGCCCAGACGTTTCAAGTAATACCGGAAGGAATCACCTACTTGACCACAGAGGGGTGCATCGCACTCTAGAAGATCCGTGGCACACCTCAGACTCCGCAAGACAATCCGTCCTTAAATTCTTCCCTTGAGCTCTCCATCCTTCTGTAAATCTTGAACTCTTATAAGCCTTAGAACTCCCTTTGCCCCAGACCCCCAAAGCCCTAACCCACCTTAAAGTAAAAGCCAGAAAGTTGGAATATGATTATCCTAAACCCTTTATGGTAAATTATATGGTAAATCCTACCCTTAAACCATATTCCCTAAACCTTAAATCCTAAACCCTTTCTGGAGTTCCCTTTAAAGCCCAAGCTTCCAGAGGATGTTGCGGCAAAGGCCGCAGACCTCGGGGCGGAGGCGGTCAACATCCGGGTTCTGGTTTTGCTAACTTTTGGTTAGTAGGGAATGGAAGGGGCCTTATAAAGGGGGCAAAAAGGGTAACTATAAGGGATCTATAAGGGTACTATAATATAGGGGTCTTAATCATCCTATGGCTTACCTTTGGTTAGTAGGGAATGGAAGAATAGTAGTAATAGTAGCTATACTTGTACCCCATTCCTCCATTCCCTACGAACCAAAGGTAAGGTTGAGGCCAGCCCGGAGCCTTCAAAAGGGAAGCCCCATGCGTGGGCTGAGAAGTAGTTACACTATAATGTGTAGCCCCCCACCCTCTAAGCTATATTCGGGCCTTGCACGGTTCTATGATTGCTGAAGTTCCTGGCTCTAAAGGGTCACGGCCAAAGATCGAGATCTCGAGGCGCAGCTCCCTATTGCCACACCCGTTTGCCCGCGCAGCACCATCTCGAAACAAAGACTAAAAACCCCAAAAAGCGGAATGTTGAGTTCCTTAAAACCCAAAATCGTAAACCCTAAGGCCTAAACCCTAAATCCTAAAACCCAAAATCCTAAACCCTAAAGCCTCAACTGACTAACATGAGCAACCCTGGGGAGCCGACGGCAGCTTGAGATGCCCGGCCAGTGAGGAAGCTGAAAACCCAAGCTACGGGTTTAGGGTTTAGGGGTTTAGGGTTTAGGGGTTTAGGATATAGGGGTTTAGGGTTTAGGGGTTTAGGGTTTAGGGTTTAGGGCGGTGTACTGTTTCGGGGTCTAGGGTTTAGGTTTAGGAGCTGAAAACCCAGCTGCCACTATGAAGAAGATGGATCCCTTACTATCCTTCCGCATCAAGATAGCTTATTCTGAAAAGCTACCACTATAATGAAGATGGATCCTTTACTATTCTTTCCGAATCAGGGTAAGTTGTTTTGACAAGCGCCATGAGTTATAAGATGTTACAAGTCAAGATAAGGTTGCTTGTTTTGCGTTCTGCGTCAAACCCTAAACACTGAACCCTTCAACCTAAACCATAAAACCTTGGCTTTTTTCCGAGTTCCCGACACCCTCGCCCACTTCTTCACGTTTCAGGTAGGGAAGCTGGGTGCCATGGCTGTCGCATTGGCCGCCGACGCGTGGAACGTCATCAAGGAGCCTTCAGAATGAGGTTTCACACGTTCATAAAATAAGGTTCACTCGTTCTTTTTGGGGTCTAGGCGTCTGTCAAGGTTTTGATATCGTGGGTCTGTGAAGGAATTCCTTGGTTCAAGGGTTTCCACGTCGGTTATGAGGTGTTGATGTATGGGCCTGTATGGGCTTTCTAACTGGAGTAGGGATGTGGGGTGTCTATATGGAGACTTAGGAGGGCCCATAATGGTAACTGGGTCTATCCCAAAATGCTATGGCACCCCTGTAAACAGGAACCTGACAGGGGCCCTATTTTTCGAGAACCACCCAAATCTTAAACCCCTCCCCCCAACCCCCAAAAACGTTTTTCGTTTCGGAGCGCCCTCCCCAGAGACTCCAATGTCCCTTGGTTAAAGAATATACCTTAAATCATAGTAGGGATCCCTACTATAATTTAAAGTATATTCCGTAGTTACGGGATATTGGAGTCCCTGGGTCTCGCCAGGAGCTCGTTCGCTGCTTTCTCAAGATGATCTCGTCGATGTGCACCTTATTTCTGGAGGAGTCTACTTAAAGGATCATGGGACTTGGTAACTAGGGGTATTATTAGGGTAACCATACTTATGACCCCAATTGGGGTACTTATAACCTTACTTACTGAGTCCCATGATCCTCCAAGTAGGAGCCCTTCTGTTAGACTGTATAACGGCAAACTGTGAGGGTGGTATAACACGCGCTTTTGGGTTTAGGGTTAAGTACAGTCTGCGGGCATCTGTAGTTAGAAGAGGGTTTCCGGGTACAGTATTACAGTTTACCTATATGGAAGTTTCAAAGAGGGGACCCTAATGTAGTACCCTAGATAGTAGGAAACTGATTATCAGGACCCCAAGATAAGACACCCTCCTAATTTTGGAAACTCCCATAATATGGGGGGAATGTGCGACTGAATGATGATTTGTTCCTGGAGGATGCCTGCGACTGCAACGCGGGCAGCTACCTGACCCTGTCCACCTCGAAGATCTCCGCGAGGTTCCACGAAACACGGTACCTCCAAGTAAGACACAATCTCCACCCACAAAGCCCTAAACTTCTGATCCGCTCAGAAATCCGCCTGAAAGCCCTGAAGCCCTAAACGGCTAAACCCTACACTGAGCCCTGAAGCCCTATACCATTGCTGCAAACTAAACTAAACTCTAAATCCCCAAGGACCCCCCGCTACTAATTCGTCTCGCCGCCAGGTGCGTCTTCAAGGCCGACAACTTCACACAAGGCTTCGGCCTGTCTGCTGGTGGCCAGTTCGGCGAGGCCAGAACGGGGCCAATGTAGCTTGCTTAAAGGATCATGGGACTTAGTAACTAGTTTCATTGCTTGAATTAGGGTAATGATACGTATAACCACTGATAACCCCAATTAGGGTACTTATAAACCTTACTCACTAAGTCCCATGATCCTCCAACTTGGCCCAAACCCTAAACCCTGAAAACCCCAAACCCCAAACCCTAGACCCCAAACCTTAAACCCGGAGGCCAAAACGAAATGCCTGCTTAAAGTATCATGGGACCCGAGTAGCCAATGTGCTTGATGGCTGTGGTACCCGGATCCTCGCCTGCTTCTCTAGTTGTGAGTGCTGAAAAGGGGGGGGGGTAGCCAAGTCCTACCGGACCTACCGGGGTTGAGGGTTTAGGGTGAAGGATCTCCGAAACTCCTCCCTAGGGTTTAGGGCTTAGGGTTGAGGGTTTAGGATGAAGGAGCTGGCCAAGCTTCACGGAAACTGCAGCTTCTGCGAGATTCTTTTGGGGGGGCGGATGTGGGTACCCCTTGAAGTCCTGACGGACCCTAAACCCCAAAAACCCTAAACCCCATAAACCCTATAAAGCCTGTAAACCCCAAAACCCAAAACTCTAAAACTCTAAACCCTAAAACCCTACAAACCCTAAAAGCCCTAAACCCATTGGGGGTCCTGAAGGCAGACGAAAGCAGCAGTGGCAAGCCGAAGTTGCCGGGAAGCGCCTTGGCTGTGATCAGTCGAGGCGTGGGTCCGCAACTCCTTGCAGAAAGGGGGCCAGGGTTTAACGGGGCTTATAGGGTTTATAGGGTTTAGGGTTGTTAGGGTTTAGAGGGTTTATAGGGTTCAGAGGGTTTAGAGGGTTTATAGGGTTTAGGGTTGTTAGGGTTTAGGGTTTAGAGGGTTCAGAGGGTTTAGAGGGTTTAGAGGGTTTAGAGGGTTTATAGGGTTTACAGGGTTTAGAGGGTTTAGAGGGTTTATAGGGTTCAGAGGGTTTATAGGGTTTACAGGGTTTAGAGGGTTTAGAGGGTTTATAGGGTTTACGGTTTGGGGACCACAAGACGCAGCTCTGTGCTTCTAGCTTTAACTGTTGTCGTATCGCGTATGGTCTAAAATTCCCTAAACCCTAAACCCTTACGTTTTTTAAGCTTCCTTGCGTAATTGTGGTATCGCGTGCTACAGCGGCCTCAGTCGTTACCAAGACTATTTTGGAGGTTCCTTATTGTAGTTATAGTATAATGGGCCCCAAATCCCTACATTATGATCTAAATTGCTTTAGCCTGTATCTTCTCAACTCCGAGCCCAAAAGTTCTGAAGCTGCTGCTGGGCTGCAGTGACCCATGAGCCTTCATTAGATGCAAGAAACCCCTAAGACTCAAGTCCGTACACCCTAAACCCCTCAAGCCAGAAACCCCCTTTGAAATGATAATAACTATCAGGCGCCTCCCTGCCGAAGCCCTGTGTAACTTAAGGTCTCTTCCTAAATGGGAGTTTCCGAAAATAGGGGACCCTAATATAGTACCCCAAATAGCATTATCCTTATTATGAGGCCCCTTAAATAAGGTACCCCTATTTTCGGAAACTCCCAAATCAAGGGGCCCCTTTGCTTGGTCTCTCTGGTCATAGGGATCCTTAGGGGTTTAGGGGGAGGGGGGGGTAGGGGGCCTTAAGGCCCATAATAAGGACTAATAAGGCCTATTTAAGGAAATATAGTCCCCTAACCCCTAACCCTAAACCCTAAACCCTAAACCCTAAACCCTAAACCCTAAACCGTACCCTAAGGATCCCTATGATCTGGTAACCCGCGAGCAAACCGGGCTCAAGGTTCCTCGGTGCAGGATCGCCGTGGCCCTCTCCAAGAGCTGAAGGAGAAGAAGTCACTGAGGCCCTGCTACCCAGAGCCTCCAAAACCCCTTCATTAAGGAATAGACCTTAAATCATATTAAGGATCCCACTATATTTTAAGGTATATTCCTTAATTAAGGGGTTTTGGAGGCCCTGCTAGGTGAGCTTGTTTCGGGGCCTTCGAAGAGTGTTGAAGGCGCTTTTTGTTTGCACTACTTCTGGTCTTTTTCAAGAGGACCTGCTGGTGAGGGTCAAGGTGTGGAGCTTTCAGGTAAAGATTGGCTAGTTTGGGTTCCCACGGACATTGACACTGCAGTGTTTCTGCTTCGGAGTGGTCTCGTCTGCGTCTCATCCGGCACTTGGAGCCAACTCGGGTTCTTGTTGAGGAACGTACGTGAAGTTTCCTTCACAAGAAAGCATACTGTTTATAATGAGCATGTCCATCAAGGTAGTGCCAATTGCGTTCCGCAAGAGGAGCACAGAACTGTGCTCCTGACGTTTTCATCACGCTCCTGAGTCTCTTTCGGAAGGAGGTTGGCCCCAATGGGTAACAAAGAGGCCATCAGCCCCTTTCGATCCCTCACGTCTTCCTCCCTTGTGCAGGCATGAGCGCACGTCTGAAGCCCACCTGCGCTAGCTCACTGCGCTCCAGATCCCACGAGAGAAGACGGCCTAAATGATGCTCATGATGTGGCCGAGACGGAGGTTGCTGTTTCGCTGCCCCGCCTCAAGGCCTACTGATACTCATGATGCTGGCTCAAGTTGCTCGGCAAAAGCAGTCCAGTAACCGATCCGCCGCGCCAACGGCCCAAATGATGCTCATATAGATCCCGTAAAAGGAGCCCTACAGATCCCTGAAAAGGAGCCCTATATCCTACTAAACCCCCGTTTCTAAGGCTCTCCTGTGCTGCTTCAGGTCGAGCCTCGCCCTGGCACCAGAGGGCAGCTGCAGCGGGCACATGCCCCTTTTGCCCGAAGAGGGGTGGAGTTTTAGGGTTTAGGGGTCAGGGTTTTGGTGGGGTTTAGGGTTTAGGGCTTTAAGGGTTTAGGGTTTAGGGTTGTTAGGGGGCCCCTTAACCCGATTGAAATCATTAAGACCCCTACATTAAGTTGAGGAGTGGAGCCTAGAACTGAGATTCCACAGCCTGCAACTGAGCCCCAAACTCTAAACCGGTAAGGAGAATTATGCAGTTGTCAAAAGAACAGATCGAAATAAAGGAATTATAGCCTCTGCTACCACAAAACTGGCAACTCTATCACCTTGACTACCGTCCCACCAGACAGTTTTGGGGTTCCCATCTTCTTTTTATGGCTTTCGCCTCCCTCCCTACACGCATCCCCCCCCCTCCGCCACCCGAGGCAGTTAGCGGTTGACGGGCTCGTGCAGTGCCCGGGCCTGCAGCACGAAGCTTTCTCCCTCCCAGAGACTCCGATGTCCCTGAATTAAAGAACATACGCCTTAAACTATAGCAGGGATCCCTACTATCATTTAAGGTATATTCCTTAAGGAGGGATGTTGGAGTCCTTGGGCTGGTTCTCAGTCGGGGATGGGGGAAAAATGGATCCAAAGGATAGAGCCCTTTAAGGTCCCTTAGAAAGAGGTCCGTTTTGGTAGTCCCCAGAGCTTCGCAAGTTCCGACACCAAGACTCCGCTTGTCGGTTTTGTAGTAGTTTTTTTTGGAAGTTACTTTAAGGCGACTAGGAAGGTTTAGGGTTTTAGGGTTGTGGATTCCGAAATGGCGGGCTCCTTAAATAGGCCCCAAGCAAAGGTTCGAGCCGGCTGTGGAGCTGAGCGTGGACACGGGGGGAGACACCGTGGTCGCCGTGAGCACCCTGGCGCGCATCAGTGGAGTTTGGAGGAGTTTGGGGTGTAGAGCGTGAGGACGAGGGATGTGGGTCATGTGGGGTG